CCCCTCGGCGGCCCCGGCCATGGAGACCGAGGCTGGGGCTGTTCTTGGCTTTGCTGTGGCCCCCAGGAAAGGGGACTGCAGGACTAGCCACAGGGTCCGAGTTCTTTAGATGCTTGAAGTAGCCAATGCCATTGGCTGACAGGCCCCAGGACTTGGCTCTGATGTTGGTGACTGGCAGCAGGGCCATCTGGCTGGGGCCTGTGGGTAGAGCCAGGCACAGGCTGAGCAGAAGGCATGGGATGCCTCCTGCCCAGCTGTCCCTAGGGCCCCACTGGACTCTGGGGGTCTCCCATCTATCTCTTGGTTTCCTCGGGGGAGCCCCCAATTTTTCTCCAGAGCCTCATTCTGGGCTCCAGAGCACCAGACCCTCCCACCAATGAGTCTCTGGGGCCACGAGCCTTTCTCAGGACTCATGTAAAAATCCCTCAACCCAAACTCCGGCCCCAAGTCAGCCATACCTGAGCGGTTGGTGGAGGGGCTGGTACTGGGGCTAAGACCATGGCCAGGATTAAAGCTGGGGCCAAGACTAGCGCCAGTGGTGGGGCTGGGGCTGGGGCTGGGTGAGGAGCAGCAGACGGCTGGGCAGGGGTGGCTGGAGCACAGGTCCAGGGTGCGGAGGGCTGGAGCTGGGGCCAAGTTGATCAGGCCGGTAGTAACTGAGGAAGCCAGAGGCTGTATGAGCCGGAGGGGGACAGCACAGCACCCCAACCAAAACACAGCCACCTTTCCCCATTCCATCCCTCCAAAGCCACCCCAGCACGCACCCAGCAGCAAAGAGGGCTGTGTGCCTGGCAGCCCAGTGGTCACAGGGGACTGTCGGAGCTGAGTGGTCCCAAAGCTCTGGCTGGACCTGCTGGGGAAGGGTGGGCTGAGCTCAGAGGGGCTGGGAGACGCTAGGAGGGGAGGCCTGGGAGTCCGGGAGAGGCAGGAGGGATGCAAGGAGGTGGACAACGCAAGCAGAAAGGAGGCAGGAGGCAGGGGGCTTGGTCCAGACACGTACCATGGACACATGGCCTCACTCCCCCCAGGGTGCTGGGGCCGGAGCAGGGCCAGAAGACAGGAAGTGGACACGGCAAAAGAGCTGAGGGGCAGCAGAGAGGAAAAGGGGAGGACAGGCACACGGGAGGAGAGAGAGAAGACACAGTCAGACATGGCCCAAGGGCTGAGGGTGACAGTGGGCAGAAGAGCCCAAGGCCCCACCCTGGCCCTCCTTCCCCCACCCCCTCTTCTAACTTATGCCCTTCAGAGGCCCCCTGACTCTCAGAGGCCCAGCTACCTGGAGGAGCACTGAGTAGGCCAGGGAGAAATATCGGCTTCAGCAAGGACTGGGAAGGGGCTGCTCCCCCTTCCAGGGAGAACTTCCCAACCAGCCCACAGACCCACAGCAGGCTGAGAGCCTGAGGTGGAACCCCCTTTAGAGGAGACAGCTGCCAGGGTCCCTCTGACCGGGGCTGCCCACCAAAGCCCCGCCTGGCCTGGTGACTTGGCTGGCAGCCAGGTCTCCCGGGACATACCCATCAGTTTCTACCAGGTCCTCCTCAGTGCGCAGGCTCAGGACATACAGTGTGGACATGGACACCACGCTGGAGCCAGAGGAAAGGGCCACTGTTAGAACTGGAGCTGCTGTCCAGTGCTCTCTCTCCAGGGCAGGGCTTGTGGTTTTGGGCCCCAGGGGCTGGGCTCCCAAATGATGCCTATAAGTAGGTCTCCCCAGCCCAGGGGAATAAGACAGAATGAGGCTGTCCCCTTCCTTCCCCAAGACCCCAGCCACTTGCTCTCCCAGGCCACATCTTCCTCTTCCCCCAGGCCTGGGCCCGGGGACAGCCTGACTCCCCCAGCCAGACACCCTGAGTCTAGGGGCAAGTCACCTGAAGGCCATGACCACCACCAGGGCAATGATGGTTCCCTGCAGGAAGCGCTGGCTGATGCAGGTCTGGTCTGGGACCACAGATGATGACTGAGGACCAAGAGGAAAGGGGGAGAAGCAGAAATGGTCTGGCTTATGGAGCCCATGGTCTTACCCACCATGGGCTCTGCTAGAGGTGGGGTATGAAGGCCTACTCATCCCCTCAGAGGGGGAGAGGGAGATGAAGGAGAAATTGGGGGCTGGGAAGGCTAGAGGGTCATGAGGCGAGGGGCAGGGAAGCGCTTGGAGTCAGTGAGCTGGGAGAAATGCAAGCTGGAAAGGGAGGCCATGAGGATGGGGAGGCCCTGGCCCAACCTGGGCCCCATCCCTGCCCACCCTCACCTTGCTGGCCATCTTGGGGGGCCTCTTCTTGTAGGGGACGCTGCCTGCCCGGCTGAACTGGCTCCCTGCGTGGCTGCGGCAAGAGGGCTAGGGTCAGAGATGCCTCTAGAAAAGGGGTCTTGCCCTCCCCAACCCCACGCCCCTACCTGAAGGCGCCCGAGCTGCCGGTGGACTTGAGGCTGTCGAGGCGCCGCAGCTTGGCCAGCTTGTGGCTCCAGCGCTCCAGCTCATCAATGCGCGTCTCCAGGTTGTCTGTCAGCTTGCACAGCTCCTTCACGGCGCCCACGTTCTCCATGAAGATGCGCTCCTGCCATGGGCCATAGGCCAGCGTAGAGGGCACAGTCAGCCCCCGAGGGCCCCAGGCTTCTGGTCCATCGGGGAGCAGGAGGGGAGCCCTGGAAGCCTTCCAACCCAGGCCAGCCTCTCCTCCAGTCCAGCCTCAGTTCCTACTGCTCCTTTTGCCTGCCTCCAAACAGCATCCCACCTCTGCACCTTTTCCCACCTGCGGTCACAACCCGTTCTCCCTCAGAGTCTCGCCCCTCCGTCTCTCCCTCTGATGAACATGATGTCTCAGACTTCAGCACTTTACTGCTCAACAGAGGCCAAAACATATGACATGCTCATTGGTGCCCAGCCTTACACCAGGTTAAGTTACAAACATCATCTTCACGAGAAGCTGCATGTTTAAGCTTTGCGATAACCAGATGAGAATGTCTTAGAGGTAACTATGGTTACCCTCCTATTGCAGCAGAGGAAGGTGATCCTCTGTGAGGTTCCTCTTGCTCTTGCTCACATGGCCATACAGTGGTCAGGTCCCCACATCCCACCTCCACCTCTCCCTGTGGGGTAGGGAGGGGGCTCTGGAAGCAGCACGAGAGAAGACTGGGGAGGGATGCTCCTGCCCTCTGCACTGCAGTGCCCCCAGTCTCTATGGAGGGGGTGAACGCCCTCCAGCTGGCCTGCCCCTCTGTCCCTTGGGCTCCCTCCAGTTCCTTCATTCCACAGACCTTGTTCACCACCAGGAAGTTCTCTATGGTTTTCCCATTGGCAAAGACCACGTCTCCAGTGTCCTTCACAGCCTCAGGCAGGATCTCCTTCACCTCCTGGGCGATTACACCTGGGGAGGGACAAGCCAAGCATGGGAGGGGGGACGTGAGGGCTGCCCACAGCATCACAATGTAAGCAGAGGCTGGAATTGGAGAGGGTGAAATTTTGGGAGCTAGAGATTTGGTATCCAGGGATCCCTGGAGCAGGGGGTTCTAGGGACAGATTCCTGCGGGTAAGGATCCCAGGAGAAAGGGGCAGGGATCCAGGTGAATAAAGGCAGGATTCACCTAGGGAACAGGATCCTGGGGCCACAATTCATGGACTTTCAGTGTCAAGGGGTGAGGGACCCAGGGCTGAGGGCAGGTCTTCCAGAGGGCGGGGATTTCCGGGGTCAGGGTTCCAGGAGTCGAGGGAAAGGGTTCCTGAGAGTAGGATTTCTAGAAGACAGGAAGCCCTGTCTAGAGGACAGGGACAAGGGCAGGGTTACTGAGGGCTGAGGTTACTGTGTTCCTAGATCCCAGCCCAGTCCGCACAGGCAGGTCCTTACCTGTTTCTGGTGCCGCAGCCTCAATGCCGGCAGTGGCAGCAAACTCCGGTTTGTATCTGTAGTGCACCAGCCGCATGCGCGAAATCCTCTTCAGCTGCTCCGTGGTGTCCACCTGCGCGGGAACCAGTGCCGAGACTGAACCCCTCCCCTCCTGGGCCCGTGTGGAGGCAGCAGTGTGGAGGGTAGACCCTGCTACTAGGGTCCCGTGATCCAGAGATAGAGGGCCAACCTCCCCCAACTCCTTCCCCTGCAGCCCCGCCCCTACAGAGCCCGCCCACACGAGCAACCCCGCCTCCCACGGCCCACCCCTGCCACCAGCCCCTCGGACTAGCTCAGTTGTCTCCGCCCCAGCCCCAACCCTCCTCCCTAGCCCCGCCCCCACCTCCTGCACGTGCTCCTTGGCCCGCAGGTCTGAGGGGTGCATCAGCGAGCCCATGACCTTGACATTGCCGTGCACCACCAGCGCCTCGTCCGGCCGGTCGGTGTTGATGCCCACACGGCCATGGTGGAAGACGGTGTCGGGCACCTGCGCGCGCTGCCACAGGACGTCGCTGTCACTCTCAAACTGCCCTGGATTGGAGGCCTAACACGAGTTGGGGTTGGATCAGTCCTGGGAGATGGGCCCCCCATTCAGCGCCCTGGGAAAGGTGGAAACCCGGAAGCCACCCCTCCAGCTCCCAGCAGTGCTCCTCACCTCACCATGCCCAACTTAAACTGTCCCTTCCACTGTGGCAGCTTTCAGTCACTTGTGGGATCTCAGAAAGCCACAAGGTCCTGGCCACCTCCACACTCTACTGTGAAGGAGACCCTGTGGCCCAGAGGGTGAGAGCCTTGCCCAAGGCCACACAGACAGTGCCAGAGGGATCAGCAATCCAGCTCCCAACTCCTGAGAACCCCTATATTTCTCCTGGGTGCTGTTTCTCCCAGGTCTGGGGAAGGCTGTCAACCCCCGGGGGGAGGTGGCCCTCACCCTCACGATGATGCGTTCTGAGATCTGGGCGGCCAGCGTGTAGTTCTGGTTCTGTGCATGGGCCTGGAGGGCCACCACCAGCATGAAGTACCTGAGGCACACAGAGGTCTTAGAGGTGCCCAGGGTCCTGCCCCACCTGACCCCACCTCTTGCCACCCCTCCTGGGACAGATGTACAGGGCACAAAACTTCCCACTAGGTCATTCCTCCCAGGCTCCCAGCACTCCAGGAGGAGGGCATTAACACCCCATCCTACAGAAGAGGAACCTGAGTGTCCACTAGAGGGCACTAATTCCCCAGGGCCCACAGCTAGGAAGCCAGGCTGCTGCTCTCCCATCCTTAAGTCAATTAGGTGCTCTGAGTCCCAGGTCCATCATCTGAAAAATGGGTCAGTCTGTGGGACTCTGTGCCTGGCTCACTACATGGGGTGGCATCTTCCTGCCCTTCATCCTCAGAAATGGAGGGGCTCCGGGGCAGGGGCCCAGCCTACTCACCTCTGGTCAGGATTGGGCTTGCCCTTTTTGCGCATGTTGTTGGCGGTGGTCTCACTGAAGTGCAGCCTCCCCACAGTCACCTTCGTGACCTGCTCAGGGGGCAGATTGACCCTGCAGAGGAGGGGCAGGATACTCAGGAGGCAGGGAAGGGGGCTGCGGAGAGTCAGGCGGCAGTGGGCACTGAGGTTAGGAGTGTGTGGGAGACGGACATTGTGGATGCCTTCCCCGGCCCCCCTCAGCTCTGAGGCCAGGGCCAGGGTACCACCCCCAAAGGGGCAGACACTCACGTGACAGGGTTGAAGGGCCGCTTGCTTCGGTCTGACTGCGACTGCTCGATGTTGATGGACTGGTTCAGGGCCTCCAGCTGGGGGAAGAGCAGAGCCCAGTGGCACCGCAGGGCCCAGACTCCCCACCTGGTCCTGCCTCTCGGCTCAGGCCTGGCCCAGCTGGAGCTCATGAGGAAACAGAGGCCCTGCCCTTCCCTCAGCCTCACCTGCCCACAAACTCAGGTGCCTTTCCGACCTAGCCATGCACCCCCACAAACTCACACCCACACCACTCCCCCTACCTCTGTGCGTGCACACGTGCGCGCGCACAGTCACCCTCACAGCCCCCGCACGCCCCCAGTTCACACCCCTACACTCCTCCCACCTCCAAACACACACCCCAAACCGGCCTCCACAAACACCTACTCACACCCAAACCCACCGACTTCCCAGAATCCATCCCACACCCACGTCCCCTCAACCCCTCCATGAGCACTGACAGCCCTGCCAATGCCAGGTCCTGCTCACAATACTGAAGGAGACACCTCCGGCCCAGCTCCCCAGGAGCTCAGGGACTCAAAAATCACCCACCATTGCAGTGGTGCTGGGGGGTCACAGGGGAGGGGCCTCAAATCAAGATGGGACTCAAGGCAGGTGTCCCGAGGACCCAGCAGAGTGAGCGGTGAAGGTCAAGGAGCAGTCAGCCAGGAGAGGAGGCATAGAATGGGATTCAGAGGGCAGCCCAGAGAAAGGGAGCTGCCTGAGGGGAGGTAGGGGCTGTGACTGGGCACAGCAAACAGCGGGGCTGGGGTGAAGGGTGGGGTCCTGAAGGCCTCTGCAGGCCCAGCTCAGAAGTCAGGGCTTTGCTAGGGTCAGGGAGATGGGGTCCTGGGGGCCTTGGAAGAGTGGGGAGTACTGGGCCCACCCAAGTCTCATGGAGCATGAGTCGGGAGCCAGAGTGGAAGCTGCTGTGGACGTTCAGACAAGGAGGGGGGCGGCTTGGTCCAGGCAGAGGCAGAGGGGAGGAGAAGGGGGACCGTCGAGGGGAGTTCCTGGTGGGATAGCAGGGCCCAGTGCATCGCGAGGGATGGGCAAGTGGGCCCTGGAGCCCCATTCCCAGAGAGGGGAGGCTGGGGAAGGGGTCAGTTTGCAGGGAGTTCATTCTGGGATGTGGCGCTGAGGCGGCCGACAGAAGGGTCAGGAGAGGGGTCCTGGCTGGGGATGCAGACTTGAGGTCACAGAGTAGAGAAGGAAACAAGAAGTGTCCCTGAGAAGAGGGCTGAGGAGCCTGACAACTACGGGGGCAGGCACTGGAGGAAAGGTGGAAAGTTGGGGGCTGGACTGAGCACTGAGTCTCCTCATCTCACACTCACCTGGCCTTGGGGCTTGTCAGCACCCCCAGCCTTCCTGCCCACCTGCCCTCTGCTCCGAGCCGAGCCCCCAGACCTGCCTTCACTCCATGCAGCTTCAGGTAGAAGCAGTCCAGGGGCTTGAGGCCTTCGGGCGTCTTGACGTACTTGGGCTCACCCAGCATGCCGATGTACACCGTCACCTGGAAGTGGTTCTTCTTCTGGCACACGAAGGCGTCGTCGCCCACCGAAAAGTTGAAGCCCTTGTCGGCGTCCACGCGGTAGGTAAGCATGGGCCTGGGGGAGGTAAGGGCACTCACGGTGAGCCTGCAGTGCCCAGCCCTCCCATATGCCTGCGATTCCTATCGGGTCCCCCATCCTCGCGTGTCTCAGGGCTGCCCCTACTTCGCAGGAATGGAAACTGAGGCCCCAGGAGGATTTGAGCTCAGGTCTGCCAACCCCTCAGTCAAGACTCTTCCCTCTACCTGCCGGGGACCGCTCCACTCCAGTGATGGGGGAGGCTGGGCAAGACCCTTGAGGACCGCCAGACGGCAGGGAACTCCCAAGGAGGGGGTCTGACGGCCCCTTACCACGCTTGGCTCCTTCCCAGAAGGATGCCTGAAGCCCCCTCCCTCACAGGAGATGGGGTGAGAGGGGATGCGTCTGTGGAGCTTCACTGTGCCTGACAGCTGGTTGCCATGGAAACGGTGGAACCAGGCGCCAGCTCTGCACTGGCCCAGCCCCAGCCCACCAGCTTGCTCAAGCCCCCAGAGGTCCTCATTCTAACTTCTCTGTCTGCCCGAGTGAGGAGAAGGGCACTCTGGGCAGCCCAGACGCAGCCTCAGTTTACCCATCTGTTGCTGGGAAGATGTTCCTATTCTGGACCCTTGGAGGGAACTCCAGGTGGCAGAAAAGGGAGCAACTGTTGGCCCACCCTCACCCAGGTCCCCAGGCACAAGGAGTGCCCCTGATGCCCAGGACCTGCCTGGAGTAAACTGGGCAGGCAGATTGTTTCCAAACGTATGTAGAAAGGCCTTTGGGCCGGGCTAACACCTACAGGAAGGCCTGGGGCTCGCTACTTCTCCCTCCCCGGGCCCAGGAGTACACCCAGGAAGTGCCTGGGCCACACTGGGGGCCTCAGCTGCCAACTTCCTTGCCATGGGACCTGGGGTGGCAGAGCTGGCCTGAGAAGGGTGCGAATAAGAATGGGGGTCCTCACCAGATCATATGGCTGGACATCCAGACCTCCCCCTGCCTCCCTGACATGGCCTCAAAGGACCCTTTAGCCACTACATCAGCTGGACCCTCCCCCCACCCCCGCCCAGTCCTGAACTCTATCTAACCATCCCACATAGCCTGGGATGCCCAACTCCAGGAGGCTGGTCTCAGCTGCAAGAGGGCCCAAGTCTCAGACGCCCTGCCCAGGCCTGGCGATGTTCAAACTGAGTTGATGGTGAGCCACGCTCTCAACCCTCACTGGCCTTCTGGGGGAGTGAGGGGAGTGGTCCCAGAGTGCTCCTGGCCGGGTCCCAGGAAGCTGAATCCACATGGGTGGGTGCTGCAGGAGAGCTAGGAATGCCCGGGCAGCCTCTGATCCAGTCCTCCCCCACCCACTCATCCCTCCCCTCCAGGGAGGGGGCTGCTGGAAGGGCCTTGCTGACACTCAGTTTCCGGCTACCTTCCTGGAATGCAGAGGGAGGAGAGGGAGGGGGAGGAGGAGCCAAAAACACCTCTCCACCCACTTCTCCCTGACTTGGCCCACACTGGCCCTTCCCTGGCGGACACTACCTTCTTAAGGAGGCCTCAGGCTGGCTCAGGAGTCAGAACCCTGAGTGCCAGTCCCACCTCTGCCCTGAGCCTGTCTGCTCTTCTGAGAGAAGAGACCATACTGTACCCTGTATGCTCCCAGCCCTGCTCTAAGGTTGGGATGCCGGGCTGGGGGTCCCCTCAGGGGGTGACGAGGAGCAGTGGGGAGCGGCCCAGATCACTCACAGCTCCTTGTAGTTGGCATCGTACAGTGTCGCCCACTTGTTCTGCTGATGTGGTTGCCACTTGATGGACTGATAGTTGGGGTCCAGGTAGGAGCCACTGAGGCTGTCATTGTCCTGCAGGAGACCTGAAGAGAGGGAAAGGCCATGGGCCCTAGACCCCAGGCCCCACTCCCCAACTTGAAAGGTGGAGCAGGCCAGCCATGTACCTGGGGAGGGTGCACCTGGTGGATGCCAAGGTGGCGTCTGGACCCGGGCAATGCTGAGGGGCAAGGAGCCAGGGCCGGGTGAGAGTGGACCCTGGGGAGGCCAGGGTGGGGATGGGGCTCGAGCTGGGTGCGCGGGCAGGGCCGTCGTGGTTCCGGGCTCCTGTTTGATCATTCCATTCAGCATCTGGGCGTTGAGGGTGTTGGGGGGTGATTCAGAGTGCTTCCTCTTCTTGGAGGGATGTGTGGGGAGCCTGTGGGGGACACAGGTGTGCACCATGAGGGGCTGGCTCTCCCTGAGACCCTCCCCACTGGGCAGGACACCCCCTGCCCTCTCCACCCTGTTTCAGCAGGGTACCCCCAGTCCATGGACACCTCCTGCAGAGAGTCCCCCTCTTTCTGTGTTACTATTCTGTTTCTGTCCCTCCTCCCTACCCCCCAGACTATGGGATCCAGGAGGGCAAGACTCACACCTGACATGTCTGTGTGTCCCCATCATGCCTAGTAACTGCCCTGGTACACAGAGAGCTCAGAACTGTTTGTGGAATGAATAAGCCGGTCCCTTTCCTGTGGTGTCATTCTCACCATCACCCTTTATAGTAGGGGGGCTCTTTGAAAAGCAGCCTGCCTCGTTAGAAACGAGTCAGAGAGGGCCTGGGACACAAAGGCTGGGAAGGAGGGTTTCTTGGGAAGGGAGCTTAAGATTTGGGGGCCTACACAGCACCCCTTCCCCTCCTGGTTTACAAAAAGCTTTGGCAGTGGAATCTTTCCTTGAATGAAATCTTTCATGAAATCTCAATGTGCAAAAAAATACAATTCTGCAGGTTGGAGTCAGAGCAGGAAGCTTGAGTCTACACTTTGAACCTCCTCAGGAGCCCGAGCGCTCCGTGATGGTTGGAAAGTCACCAATGTCTGGGCAGTTCAAGTCCTGGCTCTGCCCCTTCCTACCTCCATGACCTGGGTAAGCATTTCCTCCCAGCCAGTCCCACCCTGGGAACCTCAGTTTACCTATCTGGCCAACGGGTGTGGCCATGCCCATTAAATGAGGTAGTCACGAGCACTTGGCCATGGCTATAAATCCCCAATGCATTGCTGAGCACACACATATGCATATGCTGACCCCCATCTCCTGGGCTCAGAGCCTTCTGCCCCTCCTGGGTTCATCCCTGCCCCTATCGCCATCTCTATCCTGCCTGCTGCTGCCCTGAGCAACCCCCACCCCCACCAGCCCACCTTCCTGCCCTGGGGGGAGGCTGCCCAACTCTTACTCGGCTCCGTGTTGCTGCAGCAGCTGGTGCAGCATCTGGGACTGCTGGGTGTGGTGGAGATCGCTGGGCACCAGCCCCTGCCCCATGGCAGCGTAGGGGGGCATTGGGGGTTCGGCCTTCATGTACAGGTCCCGCTGCAGGACAGGGTAATGAGGTGGCGGTGGTGGCGGCGGCGGGGGGCCTGGCAGGTGGGCTGGAGGTGGGGGCGGGTGCTCCAGGCGGGTGGTCACCCCCACGTGGCAGAGGGTCTCAGGGGTTATGGTGCGCAGGAGATGGGGGGTCTGTGGGAGAGATGGGGGCAGACATCAGAGACCTACCTCAGTCACTCACTCTTGGGCACCAGCTCTCCCCTGAGCAGGGTCTCCTGATGCCCACCCTATCCTGAGCCAAGCCTGTGGGCTGCCCTCCTACCAATCCCACATGGAAGGAGGGCTGGGCAGCCTAGAGGTGGGGAGGCCAGACCCTGTCCAGGGGGTGGGCAGCCTTTCACGCCCTCCGAGCCAGCTCCTTCCCCAAGGCCGGGCCTGGCCCAGCTCCCTGGGGGAGGTCCCGCATCCCAAGGTTCTCTCCCAGTTCCTCTCAGGCCCGCTCCTCCTCTGGACCACAGGAAGGAGTCTCCCAGGACCCCCAGTGCAGGTCTGCGGGGCCCTCCTCCCTCCAGCAGCCCCTCTACGGGGCTCCCAGGGGCCAGCCCCCCAGCCTGAGGGGGGAGGCCCCAGCTCCCTTTGTTCCCCAGGAGGCATTCCAGAGATGTTTTTGGTAAGATAAACAGAACTCTTGACCCCTCTCTGAGCTGTGGGGAGACGGCTGCCCGCGCTCCTTCTGCTCTTGGCCACCTGGGGGCCGCTGCACCCCTGAGCACCCCCAGAGGTGAGGTGGGCCCAGCGGGCCAGCGAGGCCTGTGCTCAGGCTGCACCCAGCCTTCCCCAGCCGTCCACTTACCGCTGAAGGGCGCGTCCATGATGGCGCAGGCGGGCAGGCGGGTGGCATCACCGGCAGGGACACTTGCTCAGAGGCAGGGCCAGGCTCCCCACCCGCCCATGGGGAAACAATAGCCAGCGCCGGGGAGTATTTGACCAGCGATAATCTGGGCCTGTTGGGCAGCCGCTGGCCCCCTCCCTCCCTCACTCCCTCCCTCCCGATAAGGCCGCCCCAACCACTTGCCCAAACCCCAGAGGGGGAGGGCGGTGCCCGCTGGACTCACCATTCACCTGCTGGGGGGAGTAGGCCTCCGAGCCCGAGTCTGGGGGAGAGTCTGGCAGCGTGCTGTGGAGCAAGAGGAAGGGGCGGTTGGGTGGGCAGCTGAGCCCCTGCCTTCCAGCCAGGCAGCTCCTCTGCGGGGCAGGGTCCCAGAGACCCCAGAGGCCGGAGGCATCAAGGTCTCCCCACATCCACCCTTATGGGCTTTTCACTGTACCAGCCATCTCGGGGTGCCCAGCAGGGCCTGGGGCTGAGTTGTGTGCAGGGGGACTTGGACTCCTGCCTAGGATCCCCTCAGACTTACAAGGCATTTGGGGGCCTGTCACCAGTGTCCCTGATGATGACACAGGGATTCAAGGACTCCCTCCCCAGACTGAAAGGCCAAGCCAGCTCCTCCCTCCTGTACTAGCAGAAGCCCCATTTCCTGGAAACTCTAGGGAGCCCTGGGGGGGCGGGCCTGGGAAACTTCAGTGGGTCACCAGAGGGGCTGCCCTGCCACGGGCAGGTGTGGGCTGGGCAGGGAGCCAGCTCCACCAGACCTGAGCTTATTTTTTTCTTGCAGGTTTTGTTTTATCAGTGGTTCAGGCAAAGGAACAAACTCATTTCTGAGAGGTCAACACGTCCTGCATGAACCCTGTGTTCACCCAGAGGAGGCTGCGGCCACTCAAGGAGCTGGTTCTTTGGCCATCCCGGTCCCCACTTCTGTAGACGCTGACCACTATTGTGCCCAGGAAGCTTCCCAAGGCAGCCGAACCGTCGTGGACACAGCCTGGGCCTGATTCCAGGGTCCCCAAGCTCCCTGGATAAGCCACCACCCCAGCCCTACAGGCCATGTGAGGATGACAGGAAAAAGTGATGGGACTCGGCCCTTGCTGGGACCCGCCAGGTGCAACAGGTTAACTGGGGCCCCAGCTCCGCATCCACCATGTCCTGCCTGCTCCCTAAGCTACCCTGACAGTGGCCTTGTGTAAAGGTCTTTCACACCCCTGGTCCCTGCAAGCAAATGTGCCAAGTCTGCAGGATCTTGTGATCTTTCTCATAACTCCTCACAGTGCTCATGAGTCCCTGATTTGGTGATTTATTAATAACTCCTTCCCCAACTAGACAACAGGACCTGCTGCAGGAGGGATGCATGCCTTTTTTTACCACGCAGAACACAGCCTGGCAGAGGTAGGGGCAGTGGGAGGCCCTGGGTCCCTCCCTGGAATGGCCTGGGGGCCCCAGGGTACCTGTGTGGTCTGGACAAGCACTTTCTCTCTCTCTCTGGGAAATGGCCTCATGTCCCAGCCACATCCTGCTGTGAGGGGGTGGGGCTTTACCTGCAGGCTGGCTGGTTTTGGGGTCCCCCAGGAGCTGGTTACTAGGGACAGTTGATGAGCTCACACGGAAGCATGGGGTTTAGAGTGGGCACCCAGCAGTTGCTTATTACGCGTTAGTCCTCTTCCCTACCTGCCCTTCAGGGTCTGTGGCTTAGGGACAGCCTCTTGGTCTCAAGCAGACAGCTGCCCTCTTCAGCAATGAATGGCTCACTCTGGTACCCCAGCTGGCCTCCACTGCCCTCCCCCTTGAAGCCAGGAAACAGTCACGGTCCCCCCCAGGACTTCCTCTGTGCTTCCGCCTCTGATTTCCTACGATCACTTGGAGGTGGAAGCATTTTGGGCTCACTTTTCAGCAGGGGGTCACTGAGGCCCTAACCCAGGTTGTGGATTTCCATGCCAGAAGGCTGGAAATGGTGCAACCGGAGATGGAGCCAGGCTGCCTGACCAGTGTCGTGCTCCCAGTGCTCTGTCACCCTTCCACCCAGAGGTAGGGTCCCCTGCCCCTGCCCCAGGCTGGGGAACCCAGAATTTTCTCCGAGCCCCTCTGCAGGGCCCAGAAGACCCAAGCTCCCTGCCTCTTCCCGTAGTTGCCCTGCAGTCTGGCTGGGCTGGTGGCCACCTGGAAACCAGGGTCATAGCCGGGCTCCGGCCAAGCCCCTGGGTCAGGCGCTGATGTCGACTCCTCAGACAGGAGCCGGGGAGGACCTGAGGGGCTGGCTTGGATAGAGTCCTAACATCTGCACCAACTTCAGGTCCCACATCTGCGCCTTTGGCCAACTCCCTAGGACCACGGGAAATAGTAGCTAAATGCACAAGTGATGGGTGAGGCTGGTGCAGTGCGGCTTTGGGTGCCCTGGGTGCCTGCATGTGTGTGGAGGTGTTCCCCTGAGTGTAAACAGTCATGCCTCCAGTCTCACCCGCTCCCGGCCTCTCTCCACACTGCTCTTGGGGATTTTTCTAGCACTTACGTCAGCTCTCATCACTCCTCTGCTCAGAATCCTCCAGGGCTGCCCACTGCCTCACAACAAAGCCATGAGTCCCTCCTCAGCTTGGCCCTGGTCCTCCCCACTGCCTTACCTACCCACAGGGTGGCCGGATCCCCACTGCCAGGCCTTGGCCAGCACCTCCCAGACCGCGGTCACTGGCCCCACACCTGGCCTGCCCTGGGCCCCTGCACATTACCCCCGCCCCCCCACACTCCCTGCCCTCACTCACCCTGGGGCATAGGGAGCCTTGGGCTCTGCCTTGATGGGGGGCCCAGAGCCCCCCAGGAAGGGCTTGGTAGCAGCACCCATGCCGTTGTTGTTGTTGCAGTTGAGCGGGGCACTGTAGCTTGGGGGTGGGAGGGGGCCATGGCGCCCTGGGGAGGGTCCCCCCCCAGGGGGGCTCAGGTGGTGGACCCCGCTGGAGCCGGGAATCGCTGGCTGCCCGTGGGGGTAGGAGGCCGCGCTGGCTGGAGCAGAGATGTCAGGGAAGCAGCTGCGGAGAAGGGAGGAAGCTCAGCGCCAGCCAGGCTCCCAGCCCCTCCCCGGTCCCCCACCGGCAGGGCAGCGTGGAGAGGCAGAGGGGTCAGTGGCTGGGAAAGGAGAGGAGCAGCTTTCAGAGATGGGGTCATGTCACAGCTCCCCGGTGGATGCGGAGGGGCTGGGGTCAGGGCCGAGGCTGCGGGCGGGGTGGGGGGGCACTCACAGGTCGGAGGCGTCCTCCTTGCTGATGTACTCCTCCAGGATGCTGGTGTCTATGTTGGAGGGCTCCAGGGCACCGTTGATGTCGTGGCCTATGGAGGAGGGAGCGGATGTGAGTGAGGGGACAGATCCAACTCCCCACGGCTCCTGTGCCTCTGGGCCTAGCCCTCCAGCTATCCCCAGGCTGGGCCCTTCAAAACAGATGGCCCCAGCCTCCTTCTGACCTGAGTATCCACGTGGAGGGAGTCCTTCATCAACCATCACTTGACCCCCTCCAGCAGGCAATGATGGAGCCGTCCCCAGCCCACAAGGCCACCTGGGGCCTCCAAGGAGGGGAGGGGCCCAGAGTGCAGATCTGGACAGACCTGCTTCCTGCCCCTCCATACCCCTTTCCAGCTTCATGACATGAGCAAGACCATCATCTGTAAAATGGGGGTAACCATGCCCCCGTCTTACGGAGGAACTGCTGTGAGGAGCAAACAAGGTGCTTTATGTAGCTTGAGTGCCCAGTGGATGCCGCCACCCTCAGTGACTCAGACCTAGACTCACTGACTCTGTCCTGCCCTGTCCTCCAGGAGTCAGTGCCAGATGGCATAGTTGTGGGCAGCTGGGAGCTTGAGGCCTGGCTGGGCTGGACCATATATCCTGGGGGGCCATGGGGCTGGGGGAGATTCCTATACCCCAGGCCCCAGCTGCAGATGGAGAGGGAGTAGGGATCAGAGTCAGGAGTGCCCAGCCCACTCACTGCATATGCCCATCATCAGCCCCATAACCAGGACTGGGGTGCTTAGCCCTGGTTTTCCAGAGGAGTAAACAGGCCCAGAGAGGTTCAGCGGGGAATGACGGTGGCCTGAGTGCTGCTCCTCCACCTGCCCTCTCCTGGGCCCTCCTGCTGGCCCTGGCCCCACGAAGGGGAGGGACTCACAGAAAAGGCGGTCTGGTGCTCTTGGGCATCAGAAGGGGAGGAGAGGGGGAGGTGCTGGCCTTTCCCCTCCTGGGGTCACCTTGCAGAGGGAGCTGGAGGGCGGGGTGATAAGGGGGCTGACGTGAGAGATGCGTCAACCCCGATAGTGGGGAAAGGCCCCACCCACGCCCACACTGCTGACCTGGGCTGCAGCCCCACGAAGGCAGGAGGTGCCCCTCCCACAGGCTCCTAGGCCTTGAGTCTGGGGTCTGCACCTCATGCCCTCTTCCCTGGTAAACCCTGGGAACAGAGCTCAGGTCCAGGAACAAATACTAGCTCCCTTGCTCTGTGCTGTGTGACCTTGGGCAGGTCACCTACCTTCTCTGAGCCTCAATCCCCTCAGTAAAATGGGGACATGAACAGCTTTACAACTGGACAACTTTACAGGGTTGTTCTGAATATGAAACAAGTTAAGGCATATAAGGTGCTGGCACACAGTGGGTGCTCAGCAAACAGTCGCTGTCCTTGCTCCCCAGTCCCCAGAGCCCTGGGGTCCCCAGGAACCCCCAGCCCAAGCCCCTCCCTGGCCCCAGCCGGCATTTCAAGAATGCTGAGCCCCGCTTAGGTGATTAATGAGTGGCTAAGCCCTCCTAGGAGTCACGCGCTGCCTGGGACAGGCCCTCCTGCTGGCCCCTACACCAGGCTCACCCAGCCGGGAACAAGGGACACCCACCAAGCACCGCCCATGGCCGTCCAGGGCCCTGTGTGGCCAGGGCAAGGGGAGCTTCGCAAGCTGGGAATGACCAGCTGGCATGCAGAGGTTCTAAGATGCCCGTCTGCACTCTGGCCCCCATCCGATCCTTCCCTGTTAACTGAAGGTCCCATTTATTGAGCGCTTGCTGTGTGCCAGGCAATTTTTGAGCCAAGTACAAACTAATAATCATAGTTTATTATAGGCAAGGCATCCTACAGGCTCTTCCTGTGCAGTGATACTTAACCCTCCCAACCTGTAATGGTGAGGATGATGACATGACGATGAGGGTGACAGTGGCTGATACTGGTGCCTGCCAGGCCCCAGCACTATTCTAAGTACTTTAATGATTTACTTCCCAATGGCCCCTGCAGACTTGGTGATATTAGCATCATCCCCTTTGTTCAGAGTAGGCAATTCTCTTGCCCACCGCAACACAAGGAGAAGCCAAACCCAGGTGCAGGGGACTGACTCCAAGAGGGAAGGTGTGGCTGGTGGTCGCTAAGACTACCCAGCCCTCTTGGGCTGCCCCACTTGATAGGCAGGGATCGAGCACGGGGGGATGGGGAGGGAGGGGCTACTGGAGCGTCACGCCCACCCTGGCCTGCAGGTTTTTGAGAGTGAACTTGGAATCTACAGTGAATGATGGGGTGATGGAGTCATGGTGTTGCTATTTATAACAGGCCAGGCCCCTCCTCCCCTCCTCCTCCCCTGGCCAGGAGCACTCCTAATCACCCCTAATCCTCCTGCCCACCTCCCCCAGGATCGGGGGGCCTCAGACAGAGGCATCTTGGGAGACCCTAACGAGAACCAGATGTGGCTGGGGGGAGGAGAGACCCTCTGGTGCCAGGGGCCGGGTGGACGGGAGGAAGGTGGAGGGAGGAGGGAGTGACTGGGGCAGGGTAGGGGTGGGCCAATGGGTGGGAGAGACGGATGAGGTTTGGGGGGTTAGCTAGCCTCCTGAGGAGCATTGACCCCACATCTTCTCTTTCTGGGAACCCTCAAGGCCTGCCTGGTCTTCTCCCCACACCGCCCATCCTAAACGGTCCAGCCACCAAGCAGATGCCCCCAGCCTATGAGCCAGACTGGAGATCTCTAACCCAACATTCCAGTAGGACAGGGTGACGTGGGGACATGCAAAAGCCCAGGGGCTCTGGAGGCTGCAGTAGAGCCCCCAGAAACCCAGGAGAAAAGCAGCACCCCTGGGCACACCCTTGGGGATGCCCCTCCCACACTGCTCCCCAAAGAACCCTGGAACATCGTTGTGCCAGCAACAGATACTTGTCAGGCAGGAAGCTAAGAATGTCCCATGCTGATCCTTAAGACCTCACTGGGAGGTGGGGAGGCTGCCCAAGGTCCCACAGCCTGAAGGTGGCACCACCAGGTCACAAACCAGCATCCCTGCCCTTCCTCTCCCTAGTCTGTCAACTTCCCATTGCTGGGGATGTCAGGAACCCTCGACCAAGGCCCCCTGCCTGCCCCCACGGCCTGTCCTGCCCTAGTGCCCCTCCTTGCAACTCTCCTAAGACTCAGCCTCCACCTCATTCCATCCTGGGACAAGCATCCCCCTTGCACTTTAGGGCCTTTGCACATGCTGTTCCTGTTCCTCATCACTCTTTAGGTTTTGGTTTAAATGTAAGTTCCTCCAGGAGGCCATGTCTGACTTTCCATTCTCATGAGTGGCAGCCTCCTTTCTACTTTGTCCGCAGGCTCTTTACTCTGCTGCTTTGCACACATCTCGGGTGGAGAGACTGTACTCTGCCTGCTCACTGCCCACAGTTCACACTCACCAAGCAATCACTCTGCCCAGCCCCATGCCACACACTTTCTATGGCTCATATTTAATTCTCTTAACAACCCTACAGGGTAAGTGGTTTTCTTGTTTCCTGTTTTACAGATGAGGAAACTGAGGCTCAGAAAAAAAAAATGCCTTGCCCACAGCTTAGTGGTGTGGGAGCCAGGCCGTGAGTCCTACCCTGTTCTGCCTCTCTGGGGTGTAAGCATCCAAGCATACTGTAGGCACACAATAAATGTTCAAGGAATAAATGAGCAAAGGGGCAAGTGGGGCACCGGAACCAGGCCTGCCTGGGTCTGGGGACCTCCGCCCGGCAGTGCTGTGGTCAGGGTCCAGGGCTAGACAGGGCCCCTCCAGGCACCGCCGCTGCCCTGCTGAGCTATGCACCCCAGCTGCTCCTCATTAATTAGGCCCTTTATTACCTGCTTTTAACAGGAGCCAGACACTGCTTCTTCCCAGGCAGGCTGGGATCGGGGCTGTGGGAAGGAAGCCCCCTCCCCTCCCCTCTCCTCCTCCCTTTAAGGCCACCCAGCTGGGCAGAAGAACCAAGGGGACACAAGCCAGGTGCAGGATGAGGGCGGGTGGGGGCCCAGGTGGTCCTCCACCCTGGACCCTTCTCTTCCTCCTGCCTCGTGCTCATGCCCCACCCCCCTGCCAACCAGCTGTGGCCACTGGCTGAGTCTCGACCATTGTCCCAGGGAACGGGGGAGGGTGGGGACCCAGCACAGTGGGAGGCTTGTGCCCTGCCCACACCCTCCCCCCCACCCGTCAATGGGGCACTTGTCAATTCATGCCCCAAACATGGCGGAAATCCCGTCGGCCACGTGGCTGTGGGCAGGGCAGGCTGGGGCCTAAGGATGCTGGCCAGGCCAAGCTGATCTGAACCTGGGGCTAACAGGGCACAGGCCTGTCCCCCCACTGTTGAGTGTCCACTCTGGGCATCTGAATCTGAGGGGCATCCTGCCTCCAGGCAATGGCTGGGGTCAGGGTAGTAGTGGTTAGGGGACTGCCAACCTTGGGACCCCCATAATGCCCTAAGGGACCCCTGGGCTCAAAGAGACTGGGTCGCTACCGTGGGCCCCCTCTTCACTGTTGTGTGACCCTTGGCAAGTGACTTGACCTCCCTGTGCTTCAGCTTCCCTCTCTCTGAAATGGAGGAGATCCCTGCATCATGGGGTGGTCATGAGTCTCCAACAAGATGGAGTCTCCTTATCCGGGAAGGCCATTCTTCAATCAGTGTTAGTTGCTCTGTTTCCATCTCTCTTGGGACTCCCATCTCCTTTCCTGCCCAGGCATGACCAGTACCATGCTGTCATCCTGGCACATGCATGTCACCATCCAGGCACCAGGCCTTGGCTCTCGCCATCCCCCCTCCAATGGGTAAGCCTCTGTGACTGCCTGCCTGTCCCAGCCACCCCTCCTCAGTCACCCCAGTCACAGAGGGCTCAGTGCTGTGGCTTATCTCCCAATACTGACTGAGCTAATTGACCTGCTCCAAACTAGCTCACACTGGGACAGGGTAAGGTGGGCTCTCGCCTCCCTTGGTTTGGACTTTCTATCTTTATTAATATGATCTGTGATTAATATGATAACTACTTGAGGCGTCAACTTGTGACCAGAGTCTTCTCACTAAAATGCCTTCAGGTCAAATGCTTGGTTCTGCAAGCTATGCTTTGCTTCTCTGCCTCAAATACCCAATAACAAGGTTGTGGCTCTTGAGTCACTACCATCAGATCCTTGTATCTGAGCCATGGTTGTCACTGTTCCCTCTCACTTCTTGCCAAAAATGCAGAGGAGCCCTGCATCCTGCTTGCAGAGACCCATCG